AGATTTAGGGTCCTCGGGGCTTTATAAGTTGTTTTTTTTGGCCATACAGAAAGTTCTGATCAGAGTTGTTATGATGAATCGGGTTTTCCATTTCCTGTCTCCGCCCACTTAGTGGTTTTCTTTGACCCGCACGGCACATATATCACTTCCACCAGAAGAATGGTTTTGCCTGTATGGTGTTGTCGGACTTCTTTGAACTTGTGTAAGTGGAATTTGTATATTTTATTCCTGCATTGTGTATGATGTGACCGGGGCGGAAGATTCCTGCATTGTGTATGATGTGACCGGGGCGGAAGATTCCTGCATTGTGTATGATGTGACCGGGGCGGAAGATTCCTGCATTGTATATGATGTGACCGGAGTACCGTGGGGGAAGATTCCTGCATTGTGTATGATGTGACCGGGGTGGAAGATTCCTGCATTGTATATGATGTGACCGGGGCGGAAGATTCCTGCATTGTATATGATGTGACCGGGGCGGAAGATTCCTGCATTGTATATGATGTGACCGGGGTGGAAGATTCCTGCATTGTGTATGATGTGACCGGGGTGGAAGATTCCTGCATTGTATATGATGTGACCGGGGCGGGAGATTCCTGCATTGTATATGATGTGACCGGGGCGGAAGATTCCTGCATTGTATATGATGTGACCGGGGCGGAAGATTCCTGCATTGTATATGATGTGACCGGGGTGGAAGATTCCTGCATTGTATATGATGTGACCGGGGCGGAAGATTCCTGCATTGTATATGATGTGACCGGGGCGGAAGATTCCTGCATTGTATATGATGTGACCGGGGCGGAAGATTCCTGCATTGTATATGATGTGACCGGGGCGGAAGATTCCTGCATTGTATATGATGTGACCGGGGCGGAAGATTCCTGCATTGTATATGATGTGACCGGGGCGGAAGATTCCTGCATTGTATATGATGTGACCGGGGCGGAAGATTCCTGCATTGTATATGATGTGACCGGGGCGGAAGATTCCTGCATTGTATATGATGTGACCGGGGCGGAAGATTCCTGCATTGTATATGATGTGACCGGGGCGGAAGATTCCTGCATTGTATATGATGTGACCGGGGCGGAAGATTCCTGCATTGTATATGATGTGACCGGGGCGGAAGATTCCTGCATTGTATATGATGTGACCGGGGCGGAAGATTCCTGCATTGTATATGATGTGACCGGGGCGGAAGATTCCTGCATTGTATATGATGTGACCGGGGCGGAAGATTCCTGCATTGTATATGATGTGACCGGGGCGGAAGATTCCTGCATTGTATATGATGTGACCGGGGCGGAAGATTCCTGCATTGTATATGATGTGACCGGGGCGGAAGATTCCTGCATTGTATATGATGTGACCGGGGCGGAAGATTCCTGCATTGTATATGATGTGACCGGGGCGGAAGATTCCTGCATTGTATATGATGTGACCGGGGCGGAAGATTCCTGCATTGTATATGATGTGACCGGGGCGGAAGATTCCTGCATTGTATATGATGTGACCGGGGCGGAAGATTCCTGCATTGTATATGATGTGACCGGGGCGGAAGATTCCTGCATTGTATATGATGTGACCGGGGCGGAAGATTCCTGCATTGTATATGATGTGACCGGGGCGGAAGATTCCTGCATTGTATATGATGTGACCGGGGCGGAAGATTCCTGCATTGTATATGATGTGACCGGGGCGGAAGATTCCTGCATTGTATATGATGTGACCGGGGCGGAAGATTCCTGCATTGTATATGATGTGACCGGGGCGGAAGATTCCTGCATTGTATATGATGTGACCGGGGCGGAAGATTCCTGCATTGTATATGATGTGACCGGGGCGGAAGATTCCTGCATTGTATATGATGTGACCGGGGCGGAAGATTCCTGCATTGTATATGATGTGACCGGGGCGGAAGATTCCTGCATTGTATATGATGTGACCGGGGCGGAAGATTCCTGCATTGTATATGATGTGACCGGGGCGGAAGATTCCTGCATTGTATATGATGTGACCGGGGCGGAAGATTCCTGCATTGTATATGATGTGACCGGGGCGGAAGATTCCTGCATTGTATATGATGTGACCGGGGCGGAAGATTCCTGCTTTGTGTATGGTGTGACCGTGGCGGAAGATTCCTGCTTTGTGTATGGTGTGACCGTGGCGGAAGATTCCTGCATTGTATATGATGTGACCGGGGTGGGAGATTCCTGCATTGTATATGATGTGACCGGGGTGGGAGATTCCTGCATTGTGTGATGTGACTGCGGTGGAAGATTCGGGGTGGGAGGAGCTTGGACTTACATTGTCTGTCTGTTTTTCTGCAGCCAGTTCCTCTTTGTTGTCACTTTCACCACCTTCCTCTTTCACTGCGTGGAATACGATGTTCTCTTCGCCAATAAACCCGTCAACCACACCCACTCGGGGGCGGGGCCTGATCGCAACAAGGTGACCCTGACAGACGCCATCCTGTCCGCCCAGGAGTGCGCCCTCCAGTAAGTCACAGTGCGGGGGAGGGGAATGCACGAGGGGGTCTGGGATACCAGGGAGCGCTGGGTAGGAGGGGCATAGTAGGGAGCGCTGGGTAGGAGGGGCATAGTAGGGAGCGCTGGGTAGGAGGGGCATAGTAGGGAGCGCTGGGTAGGAGAGGCGTAGTAGGTAGCGCTGGGTAGGAGGGGCATAGTAGGGAGCGCTGGGTAGGAGAGGCGTAGTAGGGAGCGCTGGGTAGGAGGGGCGTAGTAGGGAGCGCTGGGTAGGAGGGGCGTAGTAGGGAGCGCTGGGTAGGAGGGGCGTAGTAGGGAGCGCTGGGTAGGAGAGGCGTAGTAGGGAGCGCTGGGTAGGAGAGGCGTAGTAGGGAGCGCTGGGTAGGAGAGGCGTAGTAGGGAGCGCTGGGTAGGAGAGGCGTAGTAGGGAGCGCTGGGTAGGAGAGGCGTAGTAGGGAGCGCTGGGTAGGAGAGGCGTAGTGGGGAGCGCTGGGTAGGAGAGGCGTAGTGGGGAGCGCTGGGTAGGAGAGGCGTAGTAGGGAGCGCCGGGTAGGAGAGGCATAGTAGGGAGCGCTGATAAAGCGGAGGACGGTTGGTGTGGCCCTCGTGCTGCTTCCTGTATAGGGCCCCCGTCCTCCCTGCGGGGTGCTTCGGTATAAGTGAGATGTCTGCATAGTAATGATAGAAGATCTGCCCCCCTCCCATATATGTAACCCCCCCTGTATGTATGTGCCCCCCCCTGTATG